AAGGCACTTGCCAAGTAACAACAGCAAATGAACAGAGTAGCAAACAGCAAGTGTTGGCAAGGCTGTAGAGTGACTGGAACCCTTATTCATGGCTGGTAAGAATGAAAAAGGATGCAACCACTACATAAGGCAGTCTGGCCCTCTCTCCCAAAGTTGGAAATAGAAATATCAATTGACCCAGCAATTCCATTACTGGGAATATACGCTAAAGAAACCAGAGCCGCCACCCATAAAGATGTTTGCACACTCACGTTTACTGCAGTGTTATTCTCAATATCAAAGAGATGGCAGCAACCCAAGTGCCCATCAGCAAATGAATGACTAGAAAAACTATGGTACTTTCACACAATGGAAGACTACAAAGAACTGAAAAAAAAACCCCAATGAACTCGTAAAAGATGACACAACATGGGGGAGCCTGGAGACATTATGCTGAGTGAAGTATCTCAGTCACAAAAGGACAAACACTGCATAACAGTGCTGATATAAAATGAGATACACATGGGAGCCGGGGAGAGAATGCGAAGAGTGGATAGATAATGAACCCTGCATTAGGCCAGCTGATGGTTAAGAATTGTCCAAAAGGAATGATCAGACATTATGACAACAATTTGGAGCAAAGCATGTACTGTGAATAGGCTTGGTGGGTGGGACAGAAACTGTGCAACACTGAAGAAAAAAAAATTGTACTCAATGTAACTGAATTTTACATGTAGAATGTGCTGCATTCAGAGATGGTTTGCTTTGTAAATTATCAACAACAAAAATAAATGAAAAATAATTTTTTTTTAAAATTAAAACAAGACATTCAGTTGCTCTGCATTCACAATGCTGTCCTCATTTTCTGACATGGAAATGACCCTTCCAGCAAGGCGGTGACCTGTAGTTTTCCTAGTTCCAGTTGATACACCTTTTACAAATTCAAGTCTGTCTCAGTTTCACTTTTCTGGCCATAACTGAACAGGGAACAAGAGGCTTGAAGACCTATCTGACTCTTTGGCTGGTAGTCTACACAGTCAACTCTGTGAAAAGGGATCTGAACTCTGTCCTATTGTCTGCCATCTGTATCATCTGTGATATACGTGAGCCACTGTTTCAGGCACTGTGTCAGTCCACCTTGTTAAAGGTCTTCTATTCCACTGACTGTCCATCTTTCCAAGCATTATGTCCTTTTCCAAGGACTGTCCCCTCCTAACAATATGACCAAAATATATGAGGCAAAGCTTTGCCATCCTCACCCTTCAGGAGCACCCTATGTGTACTTTCTCCAAGACACATTTGTTCTTTTGGCAGTCCATGGGATATTCTGTACCCTTCTCCAACACCACAGCTCAAAGGCATCGATTACTTTTCTATCATCCTTATTCACTAACTTTCAGGTGCATAGCAAGTAACTGAAAAGACCACAGCTTGAATCAGGTCCACCTTGGTATATAAACTGACATCAATGCTCCTTAGTCCTCTGGAGAGGTCCTTAACAGCAGATTTTTCCAATGAACGTGGCGTCTGATTTCTTGACTGTTGGTACCAAGGGTTTTTTACTGTATTAAGTGGTTGACACCTTCATTCTTTTCTCCATCATGCTGCCTATTGCCCCAGTTGTTGTTATGTCCTGCTGAGTAGGAAGCGACTCACAGCTGACTCCAGCGGGCTTTGCAGAGGCTTTCTCTCACAGAGCTGCTAGTGGTTTTGAGTTCTTTGCCTTTTTTTATTTTATATTGATTTATTTACAAAGTTTGAATACATTGTTTTTCACAAAAGATCCTTCCCATTTCCTCCAGCCCCCCGCCCCCCGCCATGGAATTGTGCAACCCTATAATTAACACCTCCCCACCCCTGTATCCTCCAACTCATTCTACAATAATGGTTTTATACAGTATTGGCCTTGTGGGACTGAGTTAGTTCACTTAACATAATGCTCTCCAGTACCTCCCATATCATGTAGTGCCATTTGCCTTTAGGTTGGCACCTCCTGACCATAGGCCACCAGAGCTCCTTCCTGCGTGGGACTCATCACGTTCACTCTTCATTCACAGGACACTCGATACATATTTTTATTGAAGACTGCCATCCTTCCTAATGTTATCCATAAGTTTTTATGGTGTACATAATTGGACCAAGAGGCAGTCGTCAGAACAGAGCAGGGAGACACTATATGGTTCAAAATCAAGAAAGGGGTCCCATCAAGGATGTATTTTGTCTCCATACCTTTTCAATCTGTATGCAGAACAGATCACCCGAGACTCTGGGCTGTACGAGGAGGAATGTGGCATCAGGATCATCAACAACCTGGTTATGCAGATCACACAACCCTGCTTGCTGAAACTGAGGAGGACCTGAAGCACTTGCTACAAAAGGTCAAGGACTACAGTCTTCAATATGGATCGAAGCGCAACATCAAGAAAACAAAGATTCTCACCACTGGGTCAATTGGCAGCATCCAAATGAATGGTGAAGAGATTGAAATAGTTAACAGTTTTCATTTTCTTGGTTCCACAATCAACACTCTTGGTTACAGCAACCAGGAAATCAGGAGACAAACTGCATTGGGAAAGTCAGCTGCGAGAGACCTCTCAAGAGTACTGAAGAGCAGTGACGTCAGGCTGGAGACTAAGGCGCACCTGATCCAGGCTATAGTCTTTACAATTATGTGCTATACATTGGAGAGTAGGGATGCTAGGAAGAGAACTGATGCCTTTGAGTTGTGGTGCTGGAGAAGAGTGTTGAATATACCATGGACTGCTAGGAGAACAAACAGGTTTGTCCTGGAGAGGGTGAAGCCGGAATGCTCCTTGGAGTCAAGGATTCTGAAGCTTCGTCTGACATACTTTGGGCATGTTGCAAGGAGGGACTGGTCCTTGGAGAGGGACATCATGTTTGGGAGAGTGGAGGGACGGTGCAGGAGAGGAAGACCCTCAATGAGATGGATCGATTCTTTGAGTGGAGTGGTGGGAATGAGTGTGTTTGATACAGCAAGGGTAGAATGGCATTTAGGGGCTCTTGTACAAAGGGTCACTATGAGTTGCAAGCGACTCGATGGCACATAACAACAGAGTTGAATGTCATTGCACACATAAACACCTTTCTCTGGTTTTAGCCGGGATCCATCTGGCATCAGCAATGCTATCCCTCATGCCATAATCTCGTCTGAATCTAGCTTTAACTGCTGCCAGTTCTGTCGATATATTGTTTTTAAATAATCTTCAGCGAGATTTGACTTGCATGTGGTATTAGTGACATTGTTTGATAATTTCCATTCTGTTAGATCTCCTGTTTTGTGTTTTCCCCAAAGATGAACAAATATGGATCTTTTCTACTTGGATGGCCAGGTGTTGGTGGAACAGCTGATGAACATGTTCAGGGCTGCATCTGTTTATTGAAGTATGTCAACTGGCATTTCATCCACCCCTGAGGCCTTTTTTTTAAAATCCTCAGTACAGTTTGAATATGTTCCTTTGTTACCACTGGTCCTTGATCATATACTACTTCCTGAAATGGTTCAGTGTCAACCAGTTTCTGTTGTTTTTTTTTTTTTAAAAATTTTATTATACTAGTTTATTTACAAAATTCAAATATATTGTTTTCCAGAACAGATTCTTCCAATTTCCCTAACCCCCTCACCTGTCAAATCGTACAACTCCAAATTAATCCCCGCTCCCCCTGCAGATCCTCACCCCTCAGCTTCCACTCCCCACTTGTATCCTTACACTCATTCTACAATAATGGTTTTATACAATATATGTCCTTGTGGGACTGAGTTAGTTCACTCAGCTTAATGCCATCGGGTCCCTCCCAATTTAGGTAAAAATTTATAAAATCACAAACGAATGGATTGAGAAATTATGGTACATTCACACAATGGAATACTACGCAGCAAGCAGGAGAAATGATTTTGTAAACCAGTTCTTTTCTCATACAGTGATTGTGTCTATTCCTTTCATGATGCTACCTACCATCGTTCAGGATTTTTCCCATAGAATCTTTCTGTATTGCAACTTGAGGTTTGAATCTATTCTTCAGTTTTTCAGCTTGGGAAGTGCTGAGTGTGTCACTCCCTTTCCATTTTCGGAGCAGGTCTTTGCACATTTCTCTAAATACTCTGCTTTGTCTTCTTGAGGTGCCATTTGTATTCCTCTTCCTAATCCTTCTGCTTCATTTTGGCTTCTCCGTGTTGAAGAACAATTTTCAGTCTCTTGGGATACCCATCTTCTTTCTTTTCCTTCTCGTTTCTATAATGACCTTTGCTTTCTTCACGGATGATGTACTTGATGCCATTCGACAACTCTTGTGGTCTTTGGTCATTAATGTTCAAGGCATCAAATTTATTCTTGAGATGGTTCTGAAACTCAGGCTGGATAAATTCAAGGTTGTATATTGGTTCTTGTGGACTTGTTTTTATTTTCTTCAGTTTCAATTTGAACTTGCATATGAGTAACATCCTGACAAACAGTGAAGAGACTGTGACTGTTAACAGATTGAGCTTGTGTGGCTCTACAACCAACTCTTGGTACCAGCAGCCAGGACATCAAAAGACAAATTGCATTAGGAAAATCTGCTGTCAGGGACTTCACCCGAGTGCTGAAGAACAACGATGTCAGTCTGGAGACTAAGGTGCGTCAATTCCAAGCCATGGTCTTTGCAATTGTTGTTGTTATGTTAGATCCCATCTTACAGAGTTTAGCTTCAAATGTCGAGATGGCATACAGCTCCAAGCACACTAGTCATGAAAATGTTAACTAGCAGTAAGTAAGTCTCAGTATGCAGAATCCAGAGTCATGTTTTACCGCACCCGAGATGCTGACAATGGTGCTCCAACACGCACATGAGGGGACGTCCTGGCTGTCAGACTATTCTAGCAGCAAGGATTCTAACCCCAGGACCCCAGCCTGCAGGGATCTGTCACCTCCTTACCCCTCTTCCCTCGTGGGGGGTTCTTTCCCACCAGGGAGGAACTGCTCCTTCAGTGAGACGACACTTAACCGTCTCGTTCCGAAACTTACCTTATGGGGATAATGTACGAGAAGAGGAGGAGGAAGCGGAAGAGGCTGCGGCCCCACGGGCCCACGAAGCCCTGCAGAGTCACCATCACAGCCGCGAGGGCCACCAGTGCCACCAAGAGGGCTTTGGTCAGCTGATTGAGCTCCAGGTCCAGCAGCCCGACCTGAGGGAGAGAGGCCACATTAGCGATGCCTAACCCACACTTGGTCCCTCCACTCTCCACCAGCAGACAGGCCTCCACACCTCCTCCTCATCTTCTAACGTCCTGTGCATTTGAGGCCAGTCCCTGCCTCAGAACATTCCAGAGGGTTAGTGACTCTCGAGGCGCCAGACAGCACTCCTCAGCTGCCTCCTCCAGAAGGATGGTGTGGAAGATAGCACCTGGGCATAAGGGCACACAGGCACTGGGAGTGATGCAGACAGAGAGGTATGTGCTCCACCCTGGCCACACCCTCCTGGGACAGGGACATGTTTGCCCACCATGGACTGTATACCACACCAGCCTTCCTGCAGGATCCCGTTCGGATGGAGACAGGTCTGCGCAATCTCATCTTCCTCACTGATGGAGGGAGACCATCCCTGGACCTCTCTCATGAAAAGCACAGGGGCAGGGAGAGAAGTCATCCACCATGGGAAATGAGCCCTGTGCCCAATCCTGCACTCTAGGCATCCCAGTACGCCCTCTGGAAGCTTCACCCTGTGGCTGTCATCAGCAGCACGGATGGGAAAATGCTGTGAACGACATCAGTTTCTTCTGTTGCACTCTAGGCAGGATCTTGGAAACAATGTAAACCCACAGTGTAACCAGCATCCACTCTGCCAAGAGAAGGGATGACCAGTCTTCCGAAGGCCAGGCTCGGGCACCCTTTCCAAAGTCCCTCTCACTGTGGTGTCTCCTCACTGGGGCAGCACAGGCAACACCAAGCGGGAGGAAGGAGGTGCCAGTGAACCCACCTGGCCACTCAGGCCCCACAGGGAACACAGCCCCTTGTGTGTGGTCCTCCCTGACACGCTGTTGCACTTTTGTATTTTACAAATCACCGATGGCCTCCCATGTCCTGTTGACCAACAGGGCGGTCCTGGGAAGGTCCTTCACGCTGCCAGCTCCGTCTTCATCTGCGCCATCCAGTGATGCTCGGTCACCGGTGATATGGTGGTGCATGCTCTCATAGACACGGGGTCTCTGCTCAAGCATCCAGACTCTGCTCTCATCTGTCTGCTTTGTACTTGTTGTTGACTACACAAGAGTAACTTTAAAGTAAACAACACCTGCTCTTCAATGTCTAGGTATTTCAGTGAAGCCAGGACCAGTAAATGTGGCTCACAGGAGCTCCTCCATCCTGCCGCACTGCAGGTGCATGTTCACAGCACGTCTCCAAATGGACCTTCCCGAGGACACTGTCCAGCCCTCCAGCCCCGATAACGTGGGGAAGGCACACCACTGCACAGGGCCCCAAGCTCTGTCATGACTCTGTGGTCTCCAAGTCATACCACACATGCCCTGACAGCAAGAGCCTCGAGAGGCTCACACCAGTCAGTCTGCCAGTCCCCAGTGTCCATGAGCCAAGGCCACATCTGCGATGGATGGGGACATGCCTACCCCATTTGCCCATGCTCGGGTCTATACACATACTGTCTTAAAGGATGGACAGGACAGGACAGGGCAGGTCAGTATACAGGTCACTGTGTACACCATTGATCCCACAATGGACAGGAAAGCAATGGTTGGTGCACAGGTCACTGTGTACATGCCGTCTCTCCCATGATGGACAGGGCAGCACCAGTTAGCACAGAGGTCACAGTGCACACCCCCTCCCTCAGATGGACAGGGCAGCACCAGTCAGCTCAGCCTCAGGGATGGACAGGGCAGCCATGGTCACTGGCCTCTCCCCAGTGTTTGCTTAGTCCCCAGCATCTTCCGAGAGAACCTGGTTTGCTGGGAGCTGATTCAGAGCTGCCTCACGTGGCAACAAGGACAAATGCTTTGCAATTCTACGCCTTCTACTACTACACAGTTTATGCTTGAAGTATTGAGAAAAATAGGTTTTTGGATTAAAATGAAGAAAAATTAAGCTAGAGAGTCGAGGCTGTGTCACAGCCCGGCTCCCTTCTGTGAAAAAGGCAAGGATCAGATGGAGTCATTACTCATGCAGTCAGGGAAAAAGACTCAATTACCTCAACCCAGAGATGCTATCAGTGCATGCAAAGTGCATATTTTACTCTATTCATCCAAATCCCATTAAAAAGTGAAAGCAATGATTTAATCTGCCCTTCCAGAGCCGGTCTCTTTTTATAATAAAATACAAAACCACTGTCCTGCACAGTGTGAAACCACCTAGCATTTGTCATGGTTGGGGCCTGGGAGACTGTAAATGTAGGACAGACTAGGGTGCTGTCACTACGTCTTCTCGGCACCAGTGCTGGTCCAGAGCAGACGCACCCTAAGGAGACAGGATGCATGGGCAGTGAAGTCGCCTGCAGGCCCTTCCTTCTCTTCCTGCCTGTTCAGGCGTCTGCCCTGCACAGGACTGCCTTTCTGACTGTGAGACCTGGCTGCTGCCTGGAGTGACCACCACTCTTTCTGTCCACTGTGATAAAACATGTCAAGACTTAGAACTTTTAAAATTCCATCACTTTCAACTAATCGCATTTGATTTTTCTATGGTTTCTATGCAGCATCCATAAAAGTTCTCCAGCTCATCTGAAACATAATTTGAACTCTTGAGAACTCTTTAATAATATTAAAAAGTTTTCTAGAAAAAATTTTATAGGGGCTGGTTCTCCAAAGAAGGTAGTGTCTTTGGTTTTGAAGTGAGTCTCTTCTTTCTTAAAAGTCTTCCTCTATCCCTGGCCAGACCACACACTTTCTTCTGTGACTGCGAAAGCTTTTCGCCCAGAAAACCTATCAGTGATTGCTTGACATAATTATGACTGGATAAGAAAAGGTAAATTAAGTAAACTAGAAAGTAAGAGTCAACATTTATTGTAATTTCCTATATTAGTCAAGCAAATTTTCTCTACTTGTCATAATATTTATTTGAAACAACTGTGATAGCAAAATTAAATACGCTACTGGAAATTTTAATCTCCAAGGGAAAATTTGTGCACAATGTCAAAGACAACCACAATAGTTCTGCAAAGGGGCTGTTCTGGGATAATGAACACAATAATTGCCTGTATAATCTAAAATGCTACTAATGGCAACGATCACAAACCCATTTAGTGCCTCTTTAATTTATGTACCAAGTTTTAAATAGCTAATGGTTCTCAGTGAAATAATGGTTTATATCCACAATAAGGGGTAAATACGGTATTCTCTTGCTTCATCAAGAAAACATCAGTGGGTTTTCTCTGTGTTTGTTTTTTTAAGTAAGTGAACGAAGGAATGGAGACCAGATCTTATCTTCCTAACACAGCACCATGCCAATGCACTTCCGAGTTAAAAGTCCTTCCTGTCATTAAGTTCCTGAGAAATCAATGCACACATTCAGCTGAAACAAGGTCTGATGTTACAAACCCAGCTGCAGTGAGTAAATGCACTGCCTGACTGTTCACACGACCTGACTGTTCACACGACCTGACTGTTCATACCACCTGACTGTTCACACCACCTGACTGTTCTCACCACCTGACTGTTCACATATGATCGGTGGTGTGTATTCTGAGCACAGGAAGCCACAGAGCACTCGTCTACACTCACAGCTGCATCTGTTGTGGGGAAGTATCTTAGAATAAAAATTCAACACTTTAAAGAGTCCATTTAAACTCTGCAGAAAACGAAATGTTACAGTAATGTGTCTGCTATTTCTCCATAAATACATCACAATTTAGCAAGTTGTGAAGCCTCATTCCAATAGTGACTTCCCTGTCCTTGGCCCTACTGGCCCTGCCCTGCCCAGCCCCCTGGAGATTACTCAGGGACAGGCCCACCCTCCCTCTCACCTAGCACCAACAACTATTCCTAGGTGATCTTTTGAGCACATTAGGATGTGGAATTTGGATTCTGGCTACAACGCTGACCTAAGCCACTGCACTTTGCGGAATTAAAATTCCTGTAGGAAGGTACATACATTATACACACCCAAAACAAATCCACGTATATTTTCTACTTTCAGTAACTTATAAGTACAAACACAAGCTCCTCCTCATGTGTTTCTGTAAATCAAATAAATGAAACCCATACAACTAGAGTGAGGAAATTCGACCCAAAGCTCAGCAATAACTCTGTCCAAAATAGAGTGTGAATGTCAAGTGACACTACAAGCCCCCCCCCCCCAAGGTTTATTTATTCCCTCACTCTTAAATATGAACACTAAGCACTGAGCATCCGGCTGGCCACATCGTGGGAAGCGTCTGAGTCATTACTGCTCACTGCCTCAGTGAGCTGCAAAATAAGAAGAGTTTTTGTTAGTCATTACAGGCTGCTGGCTCAATAATCTGTGCTTTAAAAGCCCCCTAAATAGGCGTCAGCATGACAACCCTGAATGTTACAACTGATCACCTTAATTTCAAAAAAGCTAAATCTATATTTATACTATAGATTATGTAAAGACTACTGTGAAGCCACAGTTTATACCTCCAGGTTTAGCTACATCAGATTTTGCAGGTTTTCCCCCCTTTAGTTACTATGAGATGTTATCGTATTAGTTACTATATGCTGTTATTATTGTGTGCCATCGAGTGAGTATCAACCCACAAGTGACCCCCAGTTTTTTAGAGGTGGTAAAACACATGGGAGGAGACTGATCTTTTTTTTCCCAGGGCAGCTGGTCGATTAAAAGTGCATTCCTTCGGGCTGGCTGTGTAATTCCTTACCTCGAGGCTACCAGAGTTACCTTGGTAACTGTGTACTACCAGGGATGTTACTGCACTGCTTAGAATGTAACAAGGATGGTACAGTATTGGTACACAATATTACTGGTTATCACATCGGTTGTTACTAACAGTGACTGTATTACCATGAGATGCCACTGTATTCAAATTCAAAGCAGACTCTCCAGTGGGTTTCAGAGCATGAATACTACACAAGAAAAGACTGCACATCTTTGCCTGTGGTGCAGCCTCTGGGTGTGCAGTGTAACTCCTTCCCCATTAGGCCCACTGCTAGGACAGAACCTACCAGATGACACGGGCTAGTGCTGTATTGGTTACTATACTTCACAG